TAAAGGTAGAAGTTTTGTAACAAAAAAAGGGAGTGGTTAATCTTACAGTCCAGAAACAGAGGACAAGAGAGGAATGCACAAGCAAAATGTGGGACCTTATCCAGAGAAGCAGCAGCGCCAGAGATGGAGGCAGAGATGGGGGCATGGAGAGGGGGAGCGACTGAGGACTCTAGATTCATGGACTAAGAAGAGAGGGACAAAGAGGTGGTGGCCAAGAGCAGACTTGCAGAATGTGTCCTTTGGAGATGTAAATTATTATATATGCCTGAGTGGGTTTTTTTGTTTGTTTTTTAAAAAGCTGAAGTGGATAGAGAGAAATACTGTTAACTGACGGTACATGGAGGGGATTATAATCATTGTAATGAAACAAGGTATATGATTTGTTGAATGTAAAACTGATGATATTGCCCTGTAAATTTTTACTCAGTCCACAATCAAAACCTTAAAAAAAAAAAAAATAGTGACTGGGATTTTAAAAGCTCATGAGCAACTATTTAAGATGCAACTATTGGTCTCTTCATGTGTGGACAAAGAGTGATAAAAATTTGAAGATGCTTGGAATCAACTAGTCCAATGGACCAATGGAACATGTGAATCTCAGTCCCCACAAATCTGAGACCAGAAAAACTAAATCGTGCCCAGCCACCACCATTAACTGCTCTGGATAGAGCAGGAAATATGTGAAATAAAACTCAAAATTATTTTTTAAAGACCATGCTTATTGGTCAGAGATTGGAGGAACTAGAGACTATGGCCCTTGACCACCCTTCAGGTCTGGAACAGAACTCACCCTCAATGCCCAATTTTCAGCCAAGAAGCAGATCATATATAGAGGGAACAACAACACTGGTGAGGTATGTTCACCATGGAATGGTCAATCTTTCAAGATTAAGGGGGCAACATTTACCTAGGGACAAAGTTGAGAAGGGATGGGAAGGAGGGTGGAATGGAAAGTGGGAACCACAGGGTGGAAGTGGCAAAACTGTTGTTGCATGGAGGGAATTGCAATCATTGAGATGAAACAGCAAGTGATAGTTCAAAGCACTTTTTCTGTTCAGGCACTCTTTCCAGTTCTGTGTGTTTCATTGTCAAGAAATTTCTAGGGAACTTCTGACACTTGTGTATCTCAGCACCTCTTCTCTGCATACTGACTGGGTCCTATCTGATGACTACATAGGTGTCCTGGGTCTGTGCGTGTTCTGAGGATTCTTCAAGGCCACTGGGAACCTTGCAAGCAGCATCCTGAGCCAGTGGTCCATCTCAGAGGCTTGGTTTTAACAGTAGGCCAGCTTCTGGTGGAGTTTTCATCAATAAGTCCCCCTGGCTGGGCTATCCTCCACACCCAGTGCCAAAATATTACCCCTTCATCCCCCGCCTGGCCTTCCCAAGCATGTGAGAGGTTTTTCCTGCTCCTGTCCTTTCTCCTCGTGAGTTCCTGCCCCACCTCCATGCGATTTTCAGTCATGGTTCTTCCTAAATTGTTTGCTCCCATCTCAGAGGCCACACAGCAGCACTTAAATGCTATCTTCTGGTGGTGGTACAGCCTCTCACCTAAGCCCTTCCCCTTGCAGATCCTGGGTGCTCCTGGTCCCACTTCTTCCTCAACATCAAAAGCTGTTCAGGGAAGCATCCCCAATGGGGTTATTTTCCATCTTAGTGTGAATGAGTCAGGCAGTCATTCTCTGGAGGATCTGAGTTTCCACCCAACTCCCCAATTAAGGAGTAACAGCCTTTGCTCCCCAAGAAAGGAATTCAAGCACCTGAGTGAGGAAGATGAAAGGTAGAGGGGCTGTCTTGGACCACCTAAAAAAATCACACTGCCCTATCAGTACTTGAAACTAGTCAAATAATAGTTGCTTACTAAGTAAACAACCAGAACAACAAGCAGGCCAGAAAGAAATGACAGGAGACAGACAGGTGCAATAAAGTGGGAAACACTGCTTAGGGTGGGAAGGAGAAGGGGCGAGTAAGAAATAGGCCTCCTGTTTCCAAGTCAGTAAAGTCAGTAATCACATCCTCAAGCTGTTTGTTGTACTGACATTGTCTACACTCAGGTGACTTGCCCATTTTCCTTATGAAATGCAGGTGGTTTTCTCTTTGTGAGGAAGGTGGGGCATGAAAGAAGGAAGATCTTTAACAATAATGTGAAGAATTCATTTTAAAATGAGGGAATTGACATGAAACTATTAACATAAATATATGGCTTAAGAAAGACGAACTGAGTGGCAGGAAAATCGCACTTCCAGAGCTGGAAGTCTCCATTCAGGGAGCACTAATGGACACAGAATCTTCCCCTCACAGATCTGAGGTCCCCAATACAATTGCCTCTAGGGGAGCAGGACAGTCAGCAATACTGCTATTCTCACCACCAAAGGTATCTTTGTTTTATAAAAGAATGTGCCTTAGAGATTGGTTACCATGGGGAAGTAGTCACATGAGATTTTATGTGGTATTTGAAGCAAAAAAAAAAAAAGGGTGATTCAACCCCAAAATCTTGGCTAAAGTGAGGCAGGCTAGGATAAATACATGTTGCAAGCATCCCAAGGATGGGTGGCCAGCAGGGCCACAGGAGAGGCAGTAGCTAGGCCCACTGAACTGAGCTTCTGGATGGTAGCCAGAAGTTCTGAGAACTGTAAAGCACCTGCTGCCAGAATGCTGCTGCTGGCCCAAGAGGCAGATGCTAGCAACAGGGAAGCACTGGCTCCCGGGAAACACTTAGGCATTGGAACTACTCTTCCTATAAACAAGGAAGTAGGACACAGAGGGAGGCTTGGGCGGTTGTCCCAGCTGGCCAGCTTCCAAGGCTGAAGAGTGGAGCTGGCCCTGACTGCAGTAGCCCTGTGCTAACAGCAGTGCCGGTGGACTGCACAGAGCTGAGGGATGTGCTGTCAGACATGGAACTGCCCTCCCCCTTCCATGGTGGAACCTTGGTGGCTGAGAGGGCAGGAGTGCTATCCAGGCATAGTAGCTCTCTTCCTGGAGCAGAAAATGGACAGGGTGAGGGTACATGTATGTGAGCTCTGACTCTGAAGAGGACCACTGGGTGTGTGACAGCGTTTCTCTAATCTTGGTGGCATCATGGTCACATGGACTTGCAAAAAAAGCTAATCTCAGAGCCCTACCAGCACAGATGCAGACTCTGAAGGTCAGGGGTGGGCCCTAGGACCCTACATTTCTAACTTGTAATTCAGGTAATTCTGAGGTATAGTTGGAGGTCCAAGTTTTGAGTTTGGGGTCAAGTGGGTATGGGAAGAGTGCAACATTTAGGATTGGAGGTAGGGAGGAATGGTCAATGTTTGTGAGGGCAGAAGACCCATTTCTGAGCATGGAAGGGCATGGGAGGGCATGGGAGGGTCAGACGGCTGCCTCTGTGTGCATCACCTCCCTCCCCCATGGGACAAGCAGTTTTCTTGGGCAGGATGGCCCTGCCCTCTATCGGAGTCATGCTTCTGGAAGCCTTTTGATTCCTCAGTGGTACTTCATATTTGGCTATTTTCCCCCAGTTAGAGCAAACTATTCTTTGAAAAATGTGTCAAGATGACTGACCCCAGTCTTGGTGTGCTTGTGGGTCTTAATCATTGGTCTCTCAGCTGGAGCTACTGGCTATTGGATATTTAAATGAACACATTTTAATAAATCACTTCTGAAACAAATTACTCTTAAAGGCCCAGATGAACAACCTACTCTTTAGGTATAAACATGGAAGTTTTAGGGACATCTGAGTCAGATAATTATTAACGATTAGCATCCAAGATACAGTTTATACAAGTATCTAGCACTAAAGATTATTCATATCTGAGAGGAATTACTACATGACTAGAAAAGCTCACCTGCATGGTGCAGGGTGTCGGGAAGTGAGGCTTACTTAGCCTGTGTTCACACCACAGCCTGGAGGACCTGACCCCTGGGTCTGCCGTGTTTGTATTCGGGCTGGAACTCGGTTGTCCAAACCAAAGATGGAAGTCATGGGCAATGAGAGGTACTCTCTGTGATACTTGGTAGTACATAACCTGACCCCAGCTATTGTCCTCTGAGGAAAAAAAAGATCGACGTATTCAGATATCGTTGTGTTAGTTATCTATCATAGACACATTGCAAGGGGATGGTTTTAATAAACAGAAATGCTTTGTCTCACAGTTTAGGGGCTCTATGTCTGAGCTCAGGGTGCCAGCTCTAGAAGAAGCCTTTCTCTTTGTGTCCTTATCATTAATCTTCCCCTGGGCCTAGGAACTTCTCAGCAGAGACTCTGGGCCCAAACGACATGCTTCGCCCCTGGCTCTTCTTTCTTTGTAGAACTGAGGTCCCTTTGATCTCTGCTCATTTTAAAATCACTTTTATAGCTCAAAAGAGACAGACTCCAGATACAACTTATTCATGAAGATTGTATTCAGCCTCAAATATAACTGCCTCTAATCCTGTCTCCCACCACAAGTCTGTCAGTTTGTCATACTGTGGTGGCTTGTGAGTTGCTGTGATTCTGGAAGCTATGCCACCGGTATTTTAAATA